GTGGGGAACCTGTGGCCTTGAGGCCACATGTGGTCCTTTAGGTCAAGTGTGTGGCCCTTTGAATGAATCTAAACTTCCCTGAACAAATCCCCTTAATAAAAGGATTTCTTCTGTAAAACTTGGACTCAGTCAAAAGGCTGTATTCAAGGACCCAGAAGACCTCAAGGGCTGCAGGTTCCCAATCTCTGACTTCTAAAAGGGCTGTGAAATTACAGTGGCCTCAGAAGTCAGACCTACTCATTTTATAGGGAAGGAATTAAAACCCAGGTAGGTTAAGTGACTTGTCTAAAGTCATACAGACAGTACATGCAATAAACCATACCTCACTTTTTCCTGAGATCCCTTCATCTTCCCCACAGTCCTAACTTCTACAGGATCCTTCTCAAAGAAATCTGCTATAAGGTATTTCCTTACCTAGTTTAAGCTTCCTTTTCTGGGCCCTCAGCACCGACATCATAACAGACTCAGAAGTTCTCTATCTATATTCATTTTGAGGGTATTAGGGCACAAGGAGTTGACCTGATCACTCAAGAAGACCTGTAAATCTCAGTCCTGTGTTATGGTCAGGTTGGTTTAGAGGTTTGGGGATAAATGCCTTAATATGTTGGGAAATCCCTATTAATAAAAAGGGTTAGAAAACTAAGGAAATGGGAAAAGGAAAGCTGTCACTTCTGGAACTCAAGGGTCCAGAGAACCTGGAGAAAAAAAGGGTGCGGTACTCTTGGGTTTTGAGCAACTGTTACTGGACATTGTGAAGGAAAGTGGTACACTTCAGAAAGGAACAGATAAAATCTCTATGGCAAGAAGTGCTGAATAAAGTAGAATAGCTTTTCACCTATAGATTTTTCAAAAGACCCAAGTAATAGCAGTGAGATTGTCTGGATCTGGGGATACCCTCTGTGAAATCTTCAGACAAAATCCTGCCATACAATGTAATATGAACTCATTTACAAAAGGTAAAAGTCTGAGAAGGTGGACAACCCACAATATCAGGCTCCACTGAAGACATCCTTTACACAATTTGTTCTGTGTAATTCTTCATTAGTAATATGTTCACTCTCCGCTCCTCACTGAGTAACCCCAAAATGTCATTCTTCAAAGAATGGGGTATTCCGTAATTCAGTCATTCAGCAATTCAGAAAAATGATGAGCCTTGGTTTCAGGAAGAAGCTCAGGATTATTGGAAACACTGCTCAAATTCCCACAGGCAATTGGAAGGCTCTCCTCTTCCAAGTCACTTCTGTTAGACAATGTTCTCTAGTCATTCAATGCCCATCCAACATACATGTACTGATGAACCAGTCCAAATGCATACCAAGGTCTGGATGACAAGCAGTCTTCATCCAGTTAAGTTTTTCTTGTGTGTATAGTTAGGAGAAACTTTTTGATTATTCACAGATCTCAATGAGGAGGTTTTAAAATGTTCCAGGGCTTGAACATGCTGTAATTAACAAAAAGAAACACTGGAGGACCTGACCATTTAAAAGGAATCCCTCTCCAATTTGCATTCTGTGATGAACATCTTCTATGATGATGGCAAACACCTTTAGCAAAATATACACTTCTGTATTTTATGTCTCACTAAATATTAACCAGAGGTTGTCAAAGTTTTTCATTGTTTCATCTTTCAAAGAATCTTGTATGATTTAAATTGAATGGGTGACATTACTTTGGAAGACAACCTTAGGCAATAATTTTTTCAACCTAATCAAATGCTTTCTCAAGACCAACAAAGAGTAAACAGCAGGATCTTTACCTTTCAGTTAATTTTGTGACCACAGAGATGTGGTCTACTAAAGAATACCATTTGTGAAAGCTTTTCTAGTCCTTTCTCATTCATTCATTCATCAAGAACACCCTTGTTTAGGTACATTCTGACTGTGCTTTAATCATTTCTTGCCATCTTGGGAAGAGACAAAGAAATTGATGCTAAATGTAAGATGGGTCAAGATCCTTGGGTCTCAATCACCAGGTGTTTACTAACTCTGATGCCCTTTAAATCTCCCGTCTTCCATATTTCCCCATCCTAATGCTCACAAACATCCCCCTTCTCAATTCCTAATCCCAGTAATTCAGTCATAGACTGCCAAATCAAAAACCTGCTTCCTCATCCTCACCTCATTTACCCCAACTAACATTCCTGGTTCCCTATTCTACTCAGGCCTTCCAATCCAAGATGCCAAAATCCAAACCTGGTGATCCCCGCCAACTGCCTCTACTCCTATTCATAAACATCAGCATTCCCCATCAATAGCAGTATAAGAAGCTATACAAACATGCTAAATTCATTATGAATTCAGGTTATCTAATATCAGCTGGCAACTCGCTAGGACTGCAAGTTGCAAAGCAGGCACTAACATGTTGATAAAGGGAGTTTCCTCATTGGAAATGCCCTAATCAATGAAATCATAGGTTTGATTCAAAAGAATCTCCACTGAGTCCCCACTTCAGCAAGACACTACTTTTATCCTCCCCTAATTGACTCTCCATCAAACTCCCCACAGCAATTGTTTCAAACTTCCTCTTCTCTCTTCAAGCCTATGTTATGTCACTTCCTTCACACTCTCTCTCAGCAGAAGACCTATTCTCCTGCTTTACTGAAGGAATAGCCTTCTGTTGGTGTCTTTGCCTCAAGTCTCTCCCTACTCCAATCCATCTTCCATTCACAGCCATCAAAGTGATATTCCTAAAATACAGGTATGACCAGGATAGAGTAGATGGAAGATAATCTCACAGAAGAATCTCACTAGAAGCTTCTGGGACCAGAAAAGACTGAAAAAGGTGGGATTTAGGCTGAGTCTTGAAGGAAGCTAACGAAGTTGAGGCAGAGGTGAGGAGGGAAGAATATTTCATGGGAGGAGATAGCTTATGCAAAGACCAGAGACAGTGATGGAGAGACTGAGTTTAAAAAGAACAATCATAGACCAGTTTGCCCTGGAATGTACCTTGTATAAAGTGAAGAAATGTGAAATAAGTCAGAAAAGTAGACGACAACTACACTGCGAAAGGCTTTAACTGTCAAGAGGAATAAATCTGTCTCTTATTATAGAGGCATGAAGACAGATCGGAGTGTCATGCAGGAGGAACAGCAAGTACGCTAGCACAGAATACATAGAGGAGAGTAAAGTGTTAGAAACTGTAAAAGTAGGAAGAAAAGTTTATATTTGATCCCAGAGGTAATGGGGAGTCACTGGAGCTCAGTAAGTAGTGAAATGATATCGCCTGTGCTTTAGAAAAATCGCTTTGTCCATTGAGTAAAGGAGGAAATAGAATAGGGGGATTTGAGGCAAGGTTACCAATTAGAAGACTATAACAACAGACCAGGTAAGAGCTGACAAGGGCCTAATCTAAGGTGCTAATTATGTGAGTAGGAGAAAGGGAACATATATGAGATATTGTGAAGGTAGAAGCCACAAGATCTGGCAGCAGACCAGACACATGGGGTGCAAATGAAGAGCTGAGGATGACATCAAAGATGCAAGCCCAGGTGACTTGAGCGGAAAATATGGGGAGAAAGATGATGAGTTCTGTTTTGTACAGACTAAGTCTGAACTGCATGTGGAACATCTAATTTGAGATGTCCAAAAGGGGTTTGGTGATGAGGGACTATAACTCAGGAGAACACAGATCTGGGAATCATCTGCATAGGGATGATAACTGAACCTCTGAAAGCTGATGAGATCACCAAAAAGGAGAAAGAAGAAAAAAGACGAGGATCTGTTTTCACTAAACTGAAAGAACAAAATGTGACACAGAACAGGATAAGGATCACTGGGTAACAAACACGTTGACTTTTTATACCACAGACAAAGTCTTAGAGGAGGAAGAGGAGTACATGGACCTTAGGTTCTTTTGGGCACCCAACTGGATTTTCAATGGGAAATATATTAAATGGGGCAACCAATCAACAGCATATTCTTACTATCTTCTCTCCCTATCTACAGGGAAGTATAAATAATATTAGGGAAAAACATAAGGATACTTCTGCATGCTTGGGGTTGGTATTCAATGTTATATAGATCCCTGCAAATGTAAACAAGGTTTAGTTTGGTTTCAAGTACGCACTGACCCAATCCCATGCTAGGCCTCACATCAAGCAGTGAATCATGATATAAGCATCTGGTAGTTTTACGTATACAAGGTGTTCTGAATTCTCAGAGATCACGAATACAATAGTAGGAAAGCGACCATTTCTACCTGGTGTGACTTTTGGAACATCACAGAACCTCTGTGGGCCTCAGCTGCTTCACCTGTAAAATGAAGGAATTATAACATACATTCTTCCAAAGTCTTTTCTAGCTCTTAAATGATATTATGAAAATGTAAATGTCTGTCAAAAGTCAGATAAAAATCTCCAATGATAAGACCCATTCACAAATTCATTGCTTTTTTTATGTTCAAGAAAGTATTTCCTGATGAGATTTTCTCACTGAGAAAATGGAAAAAGAACCAAAATACTTTTAACTCCTCCAAAGGCAGATATAACATATTTTAAAGCAGACTTGAAAAGTCACTTGGCTACACACTCTACCTGATAAGCTAAACACTAACCCTGCAAGAAGCACCCTGAATAAGGGACGAACAAATTTCCATACTATTCAAAGGCAATGACAAATGAAGATAAGATATACAACTGTAGTCCTTCTCCATTTCCCTCATTCTAACCTATGAGCCCATTCCAAAACAATATCCAATCCTTGATGTAAATACTTTACTTCTAGTAAAAGGTGAGAGTAGAATTAAGTGACTTAATAACCAGCTGGCCAAGCATTCAATTTTAATTCGATATAAAACACTATTAGATTTGAGATTACACACTGTTTCCTTCTACTACTGATTTGATGAACTAAAAGTATTTATATACGGCAATTACTGAGCAACAGGATTCTGCTAATTCCATTCAACTGTGAGAAAGCAAAAAGGAAAAAAAAAATCACTTGTCTACTCCTTTTTCTAATCATGTCAGAACTACTAAATGTGAATAAAGTTTTAAGCATTACCTCCTTCATGATAGCCAGTCTCCTTTTTCCAAGAAGATCAGGTGTATCCTGTTTCTGCTTTTTCCATTTTCTCTTCAAAGCCTTCTCTTGAAGTTCCCAATGGGCAAGTGCTCTATTCTTTGATTTGTGCAGTTCATGACGACGTACCTAATATAGACGAAAAAATTTCCTGTTACAAATGAACATGGGCTCAGCCAGGCAGTCCATCACAATCCTCCCATGGGGGCAGGGTCAGCAATCAAATGAAAGCTGTAGCAAGTCACTGAAAGAGCAGAACAATTAGTGCATCTCCTAGGACTAGCTGCATTCTAATCTGCTTATCTGACAACTGGCCACAGTTCTTGTCCCACTCTATCCACTGTCACCTTGAGGTCTTGCCAGCTCGGGTTAGTTCAGGAGTTTCCTCCCACCACCTGCATTTGCAACCTCAAACATGTGGCTCCTGGACCATCCATAACTGCTACCCTACATCAATGCAGACTCAGCATGACTCAAGAAAACATCTCCCAGAAAATGTGCCTTCCCCACCACAGGACCTTCAGCACACAGATTCTGGCTCAATCCCAAATTTGTCCTGGCCACAGCTGACAGCCAGAAATACTCAAGTCAGTCACCCAAAGAGCATGGGGCTGGGCTGGGTAAGAACATACTGCCCTTAACCAAACATGGAGGATCTGGGGGCTTCCCTCATGGAGTTGCAAACCAAAATAGACAAGCACCAGGTGAATAATATGCCCCTCAAGAAGAAAAACTTAATTCCAAGATCAACTAAAACAAGCGTTTCCACTCAGCATACCCTATCAGAGAAAATAATAGACACACCAGTGTCTAGCCCTGACTCAACCATTCCTAGAATAAAGACCCTAGAATTGTCATCATTGACCAGGCCAACATGAAATTTCTTTTCCCCTGTTTTACTAAGCAAATCAGCTGTTGCACCATTCCCTATATTATGGAAAACTGCCTTCTGTTGGGAGTCTGCAGTTTTCACTTCAAAGGTCTGACAGAAGTCTGATAATACCCTCCATGGTGACACACCCAACTGGAATACCCAAAAACCCCAGCAATAAAAGGGGCTGGTCACTGACTTTACCACTACTACTGTGTCCTATGTCAAGACCTGACATGGAATTAAGTCATACCTCTGCATCCTCTGAGGATCTGGTCAGATCTATCACTAATGAACAGAGACTATCTGGCACCCCACTGTGCTGGAATCCACACACACAGTAGAAGCTTGACATCTACTGAACACATATACATACTACAATGCCTCTGTTCATACTACTACAAACTTTGATGCTATTCAGGAAGCTACTCAATCAAAGGTTATGAGAGCCCTGAATGTTAGGAAATATCAAGGATACTCAGTAGACAGTCCAATGCAAAAAGGTCTCATTCCTGGCCTATTTCTCTAGGGGAACTTGGCTGATCAGCTGGTTAGCCCTACCAGGCTACCCTCTGGTTTCTACTAAATATACTGTCAAACCTTTTAGGCTCTGAAATACCCCGATCACATTCCATGAACTCCATTTCATAAAACCTGCTGAGTTAATTGGAAGTGTTGAATTCAGGCAATACTTTTGATTTATTATTGGGATGCCTACACCACATTCAACGACTCCACATGGTTTTGGGCCACCTTTTACAATCAACTTTATATAAAACTAGAGAAGTGTTATTTCCATAGGGAAGAAATGGAATCCTCAGGCACATTATAAGCAGAAACAGACGCACAGAAAACGGATGCTACCCTAAGGGAGGGAGGGACAAAAACATGAAGACTCTACAGTAATTCCTTGAAAGGAGCTACAAGATACTAGCATTGTTTCACTACAGGTCCCTCATTCCTGGTACCCCCTCTATCACCTCCCTTCCACACTCATCATGAACCTACATAAAAAATTATTCTAGTGACCATAAGGAGCTGAAAGGACATTCCAAAAACAAGAAGTTTGGGGCAGCTAGGTGGCGCAGTGGATAGAGCACCAGCCCTGGAGTCAGAAGGACCTGAGTTCAGATCCAGCCTCAGACACATAACACTCACTAGCTGCATGACTCTGGGCAAGTCACTTAACCTCAATTGCCTCACCAAAAAACAAACAAACAAACAAAACCAAGAAACCCATTCCTGAGCCCCTCATAAAATCCCCACATGAACCTTTTCAGGGAAAAGCAGATATGTTTAACAAAGCAGGAGTCTTCTTGGCCCACAGTTCATCCTACTTTATCACACACTACTCATAGAACTTATCCATAGGTAGAAAAAACTGGAGAAAGAACTGCTGGCCAGTCAGCTTTTGAAGTTTGGTGACACTATTTCAAGGGGTCTAAGCAGTCAGTCTTCATGCAAATAGACCTCAAAGCCAGAAATATTTTCAGACCATCTGCAAAAGGATTCATCACTAAATCCAATGAGTCCCAGTCTTCATCCCAATTCTTCATAACTTTAAAGTCAAGCATATCGAGATAAGTTTATAGGAATAGATAGATGAGTCACATGGGATGTGCAGGTGTACATAGGTTACAAACCGATTAACAAGGCTATGTTCAGGAAACTGAATTCTGGAGGGCTTAAAGAGGATTAACCACCACAAGCCCTCCTACAAGCCAAGAATCTCACAGCCCCTCAGCCATGTGTGGACATCAAATATTTCATTGCAAACAGCTGCAGGAGAACTCTTATACCCAGATCCAACTTCAAATCTCCTTAGACTCTCCAGGGGCAGGGGATCCACCCTGGCTGGTACACAGCTGTAGCAGGCTGCTTAGCGGAGTGCTTATAAAACACATACTGGTCTTGCATGCCAATCTGAGCACTGCATCCGTTTCAGGTGGATATATAGTTGCAATGGGAAGGACTGGAGAAGCAGCCTCATGAAGGTGATGACTGGGCTTTTCTGAAGACTTCATTAGTTTCCTCTCAAAAAGAGAAGCCTCCAGCTGACTGACAATAGGGCTTAATTGTTATACCCAAAGACCAATTACATAAATTGATCATTCTGAACCTAACTTTTAGCAAGGATTAAAACAGAATTAAACTAGGCACAGAAAAACTATGCAAAGTCAGTCTGCAATTCAAAGATTAAAACTTAAGATCCCAGGGTCATATATTTAGAGCTGAAAGTGACCTTAGAGATCATTTAGTTCAACCCTCTCATTTTACAGATAAGGAGATTAATGCACTAAAAGATTAAGTGACTTGCCCATGGTCACATAGACACTTGGAAAAACATTCTACAAAAGATCCCCACCAGTCTTCCTTTCCTCTCTTCTCACCTCCTCCCCCAGCAAATTCATTAAGGAAGACACTTAAGTGTCCCCCCATCTTTTGCAAAACTACCTGATTTGTGTCTATAAAGAAGAAACACAGATTAAAACAGAACAACATGCTAGAACAGTTCCATATGCATCCCTACAATGTGAAAGTAAGAGACAGCAATATCTATTTATTTTGCAGTTTAGAAAAAAATACATGTACTAAAAAGTAGAAGCAGGTTTTTTTTTCTTCTCTCTTCCTAGTGCTTCTTGTTTTGTGAAGAAAGAGTTTTGTGCTGGGAATTTTTTTCTCTCTCTTTCTGGCTTGCATAGTTCAGGGGACACCCCCTCATCTTTTTTTCTGACGCCTGAGAGGCTTGGAAACTATCTTGCTTTATCTGTCTAACTAGGAACTTCAAAGTTCCTAGGACATGACCCTAAGAAAGGTCTCTTTATTGTTCTAACCTATCTTCCCAGAGATTACTTTCACCCCAAGTTGCAGCCTCCAGATCTGTTCCCAATATTGTTTCTTAATATATATTTCTTCTCCCTCTCATGAACTTCACCCTGTTCATCTTCTCTGTCATTTCGGACTTGACTGTGAGGTATGTGATTTACAAAGAGAAGTTGCTAAAGTTAAGTTTTTAATTCATAGTAGTTACCTGACCTAATTTTTTTTCTCAATGAACAATGATATGCATACTTGTCTGTGAGCTAAAATTTTCCAAGTATTATTGATGTATGCTTTAAATCTGTAAACTTACTAAAATTACCTTTACATTTCTAAGTGACCTGTGAGAGTATGAATAGTTGGGTACAATCTTCCAAGATACAATGTTGCCAAAGCTAAAAGAACCCAATTCATTAGCCTTTAAAGGATGGGCAAGAATTTAATGGGCTGGGAAGGAAGTGGAGATATGGCTTTGTGAAGCCAAGTGTACTAGAGACTGACTTCCCTGGAAAAAGCCAAGACAGCATCCAAGCAGATAGCCAACCACATCAGAACTCGATGGACTTTCTAAGTTAAAGGCCAGATCTGGTTGTCTACCCAGAACCTTTCCTCTGGCAGCCACCGAGAAGCTTGGAGGATCATTCCACTGGCTCCTCTGCTATCATATTAACAGTCAAGTCCTGCAGCCTTTCAGTGCTTTCCCCCTATTTCATTGTAAATCCAAGGTCTAATCCATCAATCACTACTATAAAAGATACACCTACGCCTCAGAGATTTTCCCCACAAGTCTTCATCCCTTACCCACTTCATCGGCCGTCACGTGTGAGTATACAAGTTCTGGAATCAAATCCTTGGTAAAAATCAGGTCTATTTCCTTATATATTGGAAAAGCCACAGATCAGAGGGCCGTTCCTTAAAGCCTGACAGAAACCTTCATGACCTAAAGCTAACAAAGGGCCCTGGGAAGGCCCCCTAGGAAAAAGGACAGTGCATAGGTGGGAGCACAGGCACTCATATATAAAAGGCACGTCTAGCCATTGCAACCATAAACACAGCAATTAGATGAACTCTGTTCTAACCCACTTACCTGGCAACTGAGCACAGTTCCTGTCCTACCTCACCTACCTTCAGTATCTGCAAACTTAGTTTGTGCTCTTATTCCTCTACTTCTCCCTGAAACTGATTATAGCCATCTCAGTCCTTCTAACCGATCTACTCAATAACCTCTAACCTGGCTTTAATCATTTCCCCTGAGGTGGTACACTGCAACCATCTCCTGAACAGCTGGGAAGGCCAGCCTTTTCCCTGGCCAGATGGTTGGTTCACTTGTGGCAGGGGCCAAAAGGGACCTAGGTCACCACGTGGGCTCTGGGTTGGGTGACATCGGGAGGGGGCCTTGTGAGCACTCTCTCTCTCTTTCTCTCTAGCTCTTCCTCCCACCTCTCAGGGGTCCGCCTCTTATGGGCCTCCACAGCAGCAGCCCCCACCCCACCCCCACCCCCCAGTGTTATAGCCCCCTGGCAGCAGCTCTCACTGAGAAGCAGTTGGGTGGCTCAGTGAATAGAGCTATGCCTGGGCAGGAAGACCTCAGTTCAAATCCAGCCTCAGACACTTACTAGTTGTGTGATCCTGGGCAAGTCACTTAATCTCTGCCTTAATCTACTGGAGAAGTAAATGTCAAACCACTCCAGGATCTTTGCCAAGAAAACGCTATGGACAGAATGGTCCATGGCATCATGAAGAGTAAGACAAAACCGAACAACTAAATAACAAAAACATCATTGTTGTTAGTAAAGACAAATCCAGCTTCATTCAAGCCCTCAGTATTCCCCTACAGAACTCAACATAGTTACTACTCCTCTCTTTCCTCCCTCAGCCCCTGGGGTTTTATACCAGCCACATGGTTCTGCACTCACCTAAGGCAAATGTCAATATTCAGGAAAACAATATCCCAATCTGGACAATATGACATTTCAATCAGTTGTCTTCCTGGTTTAGTTCAAGTTAACAAATATTTATTAAGTATCTACTGCATGCAAAGCACACTGCTGACAGAGGCATTGTGCAAGATACTCAATGATTCCTTTAGTTCAAAACAAGAAATCACAAGAAACTTCTAATTGTCCACTGAATTTTCAAAAAACAGGGCAGGCAAAGATCACAGGATTATATCTAGAGCTCAAAGAGATTCTCCAAGGCTATCCAGTCCAACCTTCTCATTTTAAGCTGCAGAAACTGAGGCCCAGGGAGGTTAAGTGTTTTTCTCAAGGTCACACAGGTAGAAAGCATCAGAAGCAGGATTTGAACCAGGTCCTTTGAACTCCCAACCTGACAAAAGTAAAAAGTTGAGAGGCAAATCTCTACTTCTCTAAGAGTATTTATACAATCTAGTAAATCTCTGTCAATAGTGAACATATTTTTAAGTCACCTGATCACTTCCTTATTATAGGTATTTAATATAACTATGGTTTCTCATGGAAATGTGAAGAGAGATGCAGAAGTTCAGGCAGACACAGGAACGAGAGCAAACGCACAAGGTCTTTAAGTAAATGAATTACAAGAGTTCACTGGTTTGGGAAGAAGAAGGAAGGCAAGAATAGTCTGCCTTGACAAAACACTAACAATTAAGAACTACATATGTGAAGAAAATATATAAGCAATCTTATATTAAAGTGCATGTTTGTTTTTTTCTTGATATGTGAATAAAGAATCAACAATTGGGGCAGCTAGGTGGTGAGGTGGATAGAGCACCAGCCCTGCAGCCAGGAGGACCTGAGTTCAAATCCAGTCTCAGACCAAACACTTGACACCTACTAGCTGTGTGACCCTGGGCAACTGACTTAACCCCAATTGCCTAAAAAAAAAAAAAATCAACAATTAAGTGCCATTAAAACTAGCAAAAAATAAATGAGCACCTCCTACATGCAGAACACCATAGTAGGCAGAATACAGAGAGGTATAAAGAAGAAAGCCCCTGCCTTCAAAAAATCTGGAATACTTCTAGGTAGACAGGACGTGTGTCTGTGTGAGCAAGTGTGTGTGTAGGTGTTTGTAAATAACAATAAAGGTAGTATATACTAAGCATTAAATGAGTTCTCTAGACATTAAGTGTTACACAAGATCAGAAGGAATAATCACTGAGATGACTAAGTTACTCTAGTCCTCACAGAAGTGGGATATGAGTTGGACCTCAAAGGAAGGGTTAAGACTTAGAGGAAAGGTGGGAGAGGCCTTTCAAGCAGGAAAAATAACCTGAACCAGAGACACTGAGGTGGCAATACACCTGTGGAATAAGCAGACCACAGAGTTAGAATAGAGGATTCACATAAGGGATTACTATGAGAAATAAAGTTAGAAGAATAAGGAAGGGACCAGATTGGGGAGGGCAACATAGAGCTAGATAGAGTAAGATTCAGAACCCAATCTAGATCTGATACTTGAGATTCTTGGCTCAAGTCTGGGTACTTAAAACAACTGGCCTGTTTTGTATAGACATAGGCAAATCTCAAGGAATACTTGATGAATAGCTAGCAGGCAGTCTGTTATCATTTAGTTTAAAAACAAAAACACTTCAACTGAAATGTTACATATAAATAATCTTAACTACTTTTGGTATTAAACTTACCAGGTCTTCAGGAGTTGCACGATGTACTGTTAGATCATTCACGGTACTCTGCAAAGAAAAATTTTTTTTAAATAATGAAATATATAATATTCTAATGTGAGTAAATATGTTAGTGTGTTAAGAAGTCTGGTTTTGGTACTAGGCATTTGCTTTTCCCTTTTTAAACACAGACCTTTTTAGTATACCAAACCTGTTTAGTGAGTTTATAAGAATAAAGGAGGCTAGAGCTTTATTAAAATTAATCCATTTAAACTAAAATAGTATTTTTCAAACTGTGTTTCATGGAACTGTAGGTCTGTGGATACATTTGTATAGCTTCCTGGAAAAAGTGATCATTTTAGGTTGTTTATTAATCCACTGCAATGGCATGAGAGCCCAGGAAATGTAGTTCCAGAATATTATATACATTCAGGAGATATTAAAATATACTACCTTAAACAGTAAAGCAACATGGACCTTTCAGACTGAACTCAGCTGCTTTATATACTATATAACAAATTTAGTGAGGTAAAAAGGTATGAACGACTATTACTCAGAATTAACGGTATATTTCTATAAGAACAACACTAAAAAGAAAGTTGATGTTAATAAAACAGTTTTTTCAAAAGTCAGAGAGTAAACCTTTTTCTGCGTTGGCTTGAAACTAATGACTTCCTACTGTAAAATGTGAATTCTTTCATACAGATTTACAAAAGTACAAGGTGTAAACTATAATTTGATGAGACTGGTTTTAACAATCATGATGATACTGAAAGATAATGCTCCTTCTCAAGCATATACCACAACACTATTATGTCCTAAAGTAATAGAATAAATAAATGCAAAAAAAATATATATATTTCACTTCAAAACAGTCACCTTGGGAGGCTATCCATTTATTCTAGCAATGCTGCCAATGTTCTGAACATCACTGGAATTCATCTTTTGGAACTGCCTTCAGCCACTTTACATGAAAACTTCTTTGACTAACTTGTATTCAATACTCATTTTTAACCAAAAATAAAATTATTATTGAGTTTAAATATCTACCTCATTCACCAGACTTGTTACCAAATGACTTTTGACTGTTTCTACAATTTTTTTAAAATTTAATTTAATTTTTTTTCATACGCTTTTGAGTTTAAAATTTTTCTCTCCCTTCCTCCCCACCACCCTCCCCAAGACAGCACACAATCTGATATAAGCTATACATATACATTCCTATTAAATATATTTTCACATTAGTGATATTGTAAGTAAGAATTAGAACCAATAGGAGGAACCAACAGAAAGAGGAAACAAAACTCAACAGAAGAGAAAAAAAACAGCAAATAGTATGCTTCACTCTGCATTCAATTCCATAGTTCTTTCTTTGGATGTAGATAGCATTTTCCATCACGAGGCCTTTGGAGATGTCTTAGATCCTTGTATTGCTGGGAAGGGTTAAGTTTATTAATATTAATCATCACACAACATGGCTGTCATTGTGTACAACATTCTCTTGGTTCTGCTCACTTCACTCAGCATCAGACCATACAAGTCTTTCCAGGTTTTTCTGAAGTCAGCCTGTTCATCATCTCTTACAGCACAATAGTATTCCATTACATTTATATACTACAACTTGTTCACCCATTCCCCAGTTGATGGGTATCCTCTCAATTTCCAATTCTTTGCCACCACAAAAAGAGCTGCTATAAATATTTTTGTACTTGTGGGTCCTTTTCCCATCTGTATGATCTCTTTGGGACATAGCCCTAGAAGTGCTATTGCTGGGTCAAAAAAATATGCACATTTTGATAGCCCTTTGGGCATAGTTCCAAATTGCTCTCCAAAATGGCTGTATCATTTCACAACTCTACCAACAATGCATTAGTGTTCCAATTTTCCCACATCTTCTCCAACACTTAATGATTTTCCTGTTTGTCAGCTTGGCCAATCTGATAGGTGTAATGTTGTACCTCAGAGTTGTTTTGATTTGCATTTCTCTAATCAATAGTGATTTAGAGCATTTTTTCATATGACTATAGATGGCTTTAATTTCTTCATCTGAGAACTGCCTGTTCATATCCTTTGACCATTTATCAATTGGGGAATGACTTGTATTCTTATAAATTTGACTTAATTCTCTATATATTTTAGAAATCAGGCCCTTATCAGAGACATTGGTTGTAAAAATTCTTTCCCAATTTTCTACTTTCCTTCTAATCTTAGTTGCATTGGCTTTGTTTGTGCAAAAACTTTTCAATTTAATGTAATCAAAGTTATCCATTTTGCTTTTCGTAATGTTCTCTATCTCCTGTTTGGTCATGAATTCTGTTCTCCATAAATCTGATAGGTAAACTATTCCTTGCTCTCCCAGTTTGCTTACAGTATCAGCCTTTATATCTAAATCATGAACCCATTTTGACTTTATTTTGGTATATGGTGTGAGATTTTTATGCCTAGTTTCTGCCATACTCTTTTCCAGTTTTCCCAGCAGTTTTTTTCAAAGAGTGTTCTTATCCAGAAGCTGGGGTCTTTGGGCTTAACAAATAATAGATTACTATAGTCATTGACTACTATGTCTTGCATACTTAACCTATTCCACTGATCCACCACTCTATTTCTTAGCCAGTACCAAGCAGTTTTGATGATTGCTGCTTTATAATACAATTTAAGATCTGGAATTGCTAGGCCACCTTCCCCTGCATTTCTTTTCATTAGTTCCCTTGATATTCTGGAACTTTTGTTCTTTCAAATGAATCTTATTATTTTTTCTAATTCTATAAAATAATTTTTTGGTAGTTTGATTGGTATGGCACCAAATAAGTAAATTAGCTTAGGTAGAATTGTAATTTTTATTATATTTGTTTGGCCTATCCATGAGCAACTGATGTTTTTCCAATTATTTATATCTGACTTTATTTGTGTGAAAAGTGTTTCATAATTGTGTTCATATAGTTCATAAAATAATAGTTTCTAAAATTTAATCATATCATTAAATTATGTGATGCAAGCTCAGAAAAAAAGAAGTCTTTTAAGAATGTTGCTAGGAATCATAACTTGTAGAAATGTGCATATAGTCTTCTAAGGTTACTATTTTAAAGATACTATATATACAGTATGCCCTTGGAATGGTTTTTTTGGATTGGTTTGTTTTTTCAATCAAGACCTGTGGTTTCAATGATTTAGGGAACTGCCTTCCTTCAAGTCCCAGATAAAATCCCTCATTCTATAGCAAGCTCTCCCCAGTCTCTTTTAATTCTAATGCCTTCCCACTGTTGATTATTTCCAATTTATCTTGTTCCTAGCTCTTTGTATATATAGTTGCTGGGATATCCATTAGACTATGAGTTCCTTGAAAGCAGGGACTGTCTTTTGCCTTCCTTTGAGTCCCTGGCACTTAACACATGGTAAGCACTTAATAAATGTTTAGTAACTGACTCAATGAAATCACCTCATATGCTTCTCAGGGCCTTTTAGTACCACAGGTTATTAAGGTATGGTTTATATTTGACAGCATGCTCCATCCCAATGATACTGACCACCACTCTGAGCAATCCAATGTATGGCTGAGGCCACGGAATCACATCTGATCCTCAAAAGTAATGTAATAACACCCCACCCAGACTTACATCCCATTCTTGATTCACTGGAGTTTTCTTCTTTTTAGCTTTCAGCACTTTTCTTCCATTTCCACGGGGACCAAAGCGACTCAACCTCACAAATGACATCTGCAACGAATAAGATAATGTAAACTTTAAAAATACAAGATATTTTATTGTTTTCTCAAGTGAAATCAGTGCTAGTTTTTCAAGTATGCCTGTAGAAAATGTTTCTTTCAATGAAAATGCATCTGAAAATTAGAAGAAAAACTAAGACACTTAAAAAAATTGTAACAGTTCACATTTGGGCAAAATCATTAAAAGAGTTCTTCCTTCAATTCATTCTGAGTTCCTTCTACTATACCTCACTTCCTCTCCCTAGACAGTTCCTCTAATATAGTATCATATAAAGATCAACAGACATACAATCAGAGGACCTGGGTTCAAATCTAGCTCTATTTCATACTCTCTGTGCAACTGTAAGCAGATTCTCTGCCTCTCCAGGACTGAGTTAACTCACTTATAAAATGAGGGGTCTCGATTAGATGAAATGAGTGATTGCTTTTTTTTTTAAATGGAAGTTTTTTAGTCAATCATATTACTAATTTTGTCATAAATAAATCTGTTAAATATAACCTAAAAAATAGAATTAGAATTGAAGTCAGAAAACTTGCCATCAAACATGCAAATACACAATAGGGAAAGTTCTAAGCACTTGATAATTAATATCTTAGAGCAGGGATTCTAAACCTGGAGTCCACAAACTATTCTGATAATTGTATTTTAATGTCATTGGTTTCCTTTGTAATCCTGTGTATCTTATTTTATGCATTTAAAAAACATTATTCTGAGAAAAGTCCACAGGCTTCTCTAGACTAAGGCTTCTTAAACTTTTTCCACTAGGATTCCTTTTTAACTTTTGTCAGACTGCATGGCCTGAAGGAATATGCAATACAAAGTGCACATGCTTTGTGTTCAGAATCAAGGAGCAGTGAAGCTGCCCAATGCAACAGGGGCAAGTGCTGCCAGAAGCACCTCGGATTCATTACGAATTTGATTTTTAATTTTTGGTCATTGTGCATTCAGAAACCTCTTACTGTTGCCAAATTTTTCACAATGCCATATGGGGTCACAACCCACTGTTTAAGAAGTACTTCTCTAGACTACCAAAAGGATTCATGACACAAAAAAACGGTTAAAAAGGGCCTTAGTTGAGGCCATGGGGACCAAAAGAGGATAAAGTTTGTGTTTAATCCATCATGCTTCTGAACACTCAATCCCAAATGACTCTAAGTGTCTTTGCCTTAAAACTAAAGAGCACACAAATGAGGAATAACACCAATACTGGCCTGCTATGCTTTACATAATGCTTAATGATATGATGATTAAAAACCAGTATTGACTGACCACTAATATATACCTATCCTCCTAACAATGAAGACTCTATACAAAAATCTAAGACTCATGCTTCTTGCTCCCTAAAAATTTATAAACTTAAAGAACTATAATATATAGATGTAAAATTTAACCCAGGCCCTTGAGCCCCTCATTATCATATCTTTTTGACTGGTTTCTGCACTACAAATTCATCCCAGACTTGATGATTAGAAAAAAAAGTCCTTAAATTTCATTTTCTTCATCTCATCTACCAGACTGAGAACATTACTGCTAACTATACCATACACCCCCACCACACACACACACACACACACACACACACAATAGATAAGAGCGCCAGCCTGAATTCACTCTCATCATCAACAGCAGCAGCAGCACCAAGTATAGTGCCTCGTGCTTAATAAATGCCTCTTTATCATGACTGTTGAGTCGCTGACCTGCATTTAGTGGAGGGAGTTGTAAGCCTAAGATTTTACCACAATTCACAGGCTCAGAAAAAAAAAAATCCCCATTTCCTCACCCATAATAGGTGATGAACAAATATTGTTTTTGTTTTGTTGAAGAAACTAAGACCCACAAAGGCAAAGTGAGGTGCTCAAGGTCATAAAGACAGTAGCAGAACTGGTTTCTCAGAACAAGTACATTGACAGAAAGTATTCACAGCAAGTTCGATGTAAGATGCAGCACCTCAGACAAGCCTTGAAGAAAGCCACAGGGCACTGACAGGCAGAGATAAGGAAGAAGTGCACTCCAGGTACAGAGAACAAACACCTTGAGCAGATGCACAGAGGTAAGAGACGGAGCTCAAGTTCAAAGGTAAGAGTCAGAAGCATAGTAGGCTGGAGCATTGAGCTCGTCATGAAAGTTGTGTGAGAAGAGGCAAGAAAGAGAGAAGCCATACTGTGGACCACGAGAAATGTCAGGATAAGGAATTTCTATTCAAGAGGCAACTGACACTGACATCCCATGTGACACTGCGCAAATCACTTAAACTTTCGGGCCTCAGTTGCCTCATCTGTAAACTTAGGGACTGGACTAGAGTCAAGGTGCCTACATCTATGATACTAATATCCTATGAACAGGGACTCCTTGAACAGATCTGTTGGGGCCTTCATCTCTGCAGATGATAGAAGACATCAGCAAGAGCCTCAAAGCACAGGGATCAATTAGAAGGCTCAGACAAGAGACTAACAAGGGCCTAAATTAGGACAGTGGCATTATGTAGAAAAAAATAAAGGGATGAGAGGGAAGTCGGTGTCAAAACAGGAGGAGCACTGAGAAAGACAGTAAGTTTGGGCAGCTCTGACTTTGGAGAGAACACTTTCTGTAGAGTTCAGAGTGCTAGAGGTTAAGAACTAAGTAGAAAAAATTGAGGGAGCCTTTAGACAACTTTTTCTAAGAGTTTGACTATGAAATTAAAAAAGTACAGAACATAGAGAGGAAAGAAGATAATTTTCAAGAAACTCTGCATTCAATTCACACACACACACACACACACATACACACACACTTTTTCCAAGAACCTGAGAAAGCCCTCTAAATGGGCAAAATCATGCCTACAAAATTCTCCAAATAAAGGAGTACTTCCATGGATCTAAAGGGTCTCTTTTACTTCATGTACAATTCTAAGCCCCTTAAAGCAAAGAGAAAATATAGCTAAAGGACAATATAAATATTATTACTGCTATTAAAGTTTCTTACTTTACCACAATAACTGTAGGCATATTAGTAAGGGAAGGTTCAGACACTAAAACTATTTTTAAAAAAACACAAAAATTAAAAGCACAGCAGTTTAGTGAAATCAAGTTTAGCAGTAAGCAGTCATACAAATCTTCAATAGCGCCTCCAACAGGGCATCTTCATATTCAGCATAATAATCAATAACAGTCAGAGAGGTATACTGAAAAGATTACAAGATCAAAGCTTTTGAGCTGAAAAAGTCACCTAAGATCACAGATTTATAGCCAGAAGGACCTCATGCACAAGTCCAACTATGTTACACACTCCCTTATTCAATAAACTGCAGGTTTTCCACCTGGTCCCAGTTCAAATGGAAAATCCCGTGTTTGGTAGATACACAAAGTCCTTCCTAATCTGGGCCCTCCTATCTTTCTAGTCTTCTGATACCTTCCCACTCCCTCCCCCCCGCCATGTGCTCTGTGATCCAATGGCACTAACCTCTTTGCTGTTCCTCATACATGATACTCAATCTCCACACTTCAGGCATTTTCACTGACTGTCTTTCAAGTCTGAATTCTCTCCCTTCCTCATCTCAGTCTCCTGTTAAGTTCCAGCTAAACTGCCTTCTTTAAGAAGCCTTTCCCTGTTCCTCTTAATATTAATGCCTTCTCTCAACTGATTATCTCCAATTAATCCTATATATCCTATTCGTAAATGGTTGTTTTCAACCTATATGTCTCGCCCTATAGACTGTGAACTCTTCGAAAGCAGGGACCTTTTGTTTGTCTCTCTCAAGACTCATCACCATGCCAGAGCCACAACTGCTTGTCCTTCATTCTGAAGGAGGACCATGACATCAGGGGGGTGATGCCATGACACAAGTGAATTGGATCTAAGTCAGGGAGGGCTGTGCACAGTCACCTGCCTCACTTTTTCCTCCACAGCCATGTGGGTCCAGTGGAGATGGACAGGAGTCAGTGGAGTCAGGACAGAAGATGGCCCAGGATGCAGTGCAGGACCTTGGCCTCTTCAAGCTAAGGTGTTCAACAGGTCTCAGGCTGACTGAGGCAATGCCCATTCAGTGGTTAAGGTTCACCAGGTTAATAAGAAATGAGACAGAGAATGAATGGCCTCTATACCTAGTCAAAAAAAAAAACCTGGGAGGGGAAGGCCAGCAGGATTTCAGACCAAAACAGAAACAATTGCTATTTACATTCATTCTGAGCCCCGATCAGGACCCAAGCAATGGCCAAGGGCTTGGCCTGTGGGACCTATTGCTGGCCAATCAAAGAGACCCAGAGTGATACGGGCTAAGGCTGTTAAAGGGTTAAATTTCAGAGATTGAAATTTACATTCTCTTTGGGCAGAGTACCTTAGGTAGTTGACTGTGACTTCAAAGGCCATCAAAGGTTCTTAACCTGGGGTTCTTGAACTTTTTAAAGCAGAACTGATTTTCTTCAAAATTCTATGTATTTTATGTTTGTTTTACTTTAATTATTCTGAGGAACTAACCATCACAGGCTTCCCTAGACTAACAAAGGGGTCCATGACACAAAAAAAGGTTAAGAATTGATCTAATCCAATCCTCTCATTTCACAGATGTGGAAACTGAGGTCCAGAGAGATTAAGCAAATTGCCTAGTCATATAGCTGGTTAGTGAAAGCACAAGTCTTCTGATTTCAAATTCGGCCCTCAATCCACTTTACCAGAGGGCCTGAGCTTAAATTCTGCTCCTGTGCTAATCATTTCCACCTAGATGGGACTCAATTACAAAAATAAAGGGGTCGCGGTAGATAATCTCTAGGATGTATCTGAACACCTCTTCTGTTGAGCAAATCACTAAGTAACCCAGAATCTCAAGCAGATGTCATACTCAACTCCTTCCTCACTCTCTCCATCTAATTCGTTGCCAGGCCCTGTCAACTGCACCTTTACAATGTCTCTCCTTTATGCTCCCTTCTCTCCTCTGACACTGCCACCATCTTGGTCCAGGCCCTCATTACCCCACACCTAGTATTGCAATAGCTTATTGGTTGGTCTCCCAGCCTCAAGTCTTCCTTATCAACTAAACTGTAGTTCTCAAGCCCAGGTAAGACCATATCCCCCTTCATTCAATACATTTGAGTGGTTCCTTATCACCTCCAGGGTCAAACGCTCTGTCTCTTATTCAGAGCCCTTCATAAGCTGGACCCCTCCTACTTTTCCAGTCTTCTCACACCTCATATCACCCTTCATAGTCTACAGTCCTGTGACACTGGCCTTCTTGCTTTTGCTGGCACAACATACCCCATCTGGGCATTTTCACTGGCTGTCCCCCAACCCTGGAATGCTCCCCCTCTTCATCTCCACCTCCTGGCCTCCTTCAAATTCCAGCTAAAATCCCACAGTCTACAGGAATCCTTTCCCAGATCCTCTTAGTCCAAGTGCCTTCTCTCTGCTAATCATCTCCAATTTATCCTACGTATCCATACATATATATAGTTACTTGCCTGTTGTCTCTCATAATTAGACTGATACATGCATGTATATCTTTATATATCTTGTTTGTAATTATTTGCATGTTGTCTATCACAGATTGTGATATATACATATGCATATGTATACATATACATCTTATCTGCACGTTGTCTCCCATGATTAGACTGCAATATACATATGTGTGTATATTTTGCTTGTACAGTTATTTGCATGTTGGATTCCATATTAGATATGGTATGTCTAATATGTGTATGTGTGTAGATATATCTATAGATACATATAAATATGTAATTAGTTATTTGCATGTTGCCTCCCATGAACAGTGAGCTCCTTAAGAATAGCAATCATTTTTTTTCTTTGTATCTCCTGCTTGGCATACAGTAGGCGTTTAATCAATGCTTGCTGACTCCATCTGATTTCTGTTTTCCCCCCAGCAGCGCTGAGGCAGGCGTGCAACAACAACAGCTAGTCTCCCACCTAACCCACAAGGGCAGGTCGAGGTAAGAGCCTGGAAAATCTTCGGGCAGGAGAGAAAATCGTGTGGTTCCTCCCAGGCTGCACCCCTCCCCCTCCTCCTCCTCCTTGCCCTTTCCCTCCCCCAACTACACTCCCCCTCCTACCTCCTTTCCACTTCCCCTCCCCCACAGGGCGGGGCCACGCACGCGCGATGCCCCCCCCACGGGGGGGGGTGTCACTTTTTTCTTTCTTTTTTCTTTTTTTCAGCTCGACCTCAGGGACCCGGCGGGCTCCAGAAGAGAAGGGAAGGAGGGAATGAGAGGGAGGGAAGGAGAAAGGAGAATCGGTACGCGCGTTTCGGCCCCCCAACTTCTGCCTCCCGATCCCCAGGAAGTCGCTGCTGCAGCAGAGGGATGCCGCCACTTGCCTTAATGTTTCCGCGGCCATTCGGCTTCGTTAATCAAATCCTGCCACCTCCCCAAAGGCCCGGCCCCGCAGTAGCTCGGTGCGGTCCCTCAGCTTCCGGCCGAGTCGCCCGGGTTACCGAGGCCCCGCCCCCACCCGCCTAGCGCCGCACCCTGCCGAGCATTTGATGCGCATGCGCAGAACTTCCCTCAAGCCCGCCTTCAAGCAGGGTGGCTTGTTGTAAGGAGTGAGAGAGGCTGGTAGCTAAAGCTGGCACGTGACTTGAAACTAGGGTGCGAGCTAAAACTGAGGTGCAGAGAGACTTCAGTCCCAGGGTGGAGAACTGGAAGTGAATTCTACAGGAAGAGCCCCCAAACCCGGGTGTTTTCATGTTCGTGGTGCGTGAAGAAGGCGGTTGCTATTCCACGAAATCACCCTGGCTTCTTTTGCTCCCAGCGCATCCTGACCTATGCAAGCAGCCCGAAAACAAACGTTAAGAACCGTTCCCACGCCACCCCCCGCAAAGCAAGCAAATATTTGCCAAACACCAGCCTGTGCAAGACACACGTGTCTCGGAAGGGACGACGTTGTCCTGACCTTCAAAGAGCTTAGTAAAGGAGGTCTCAGACCCCACCAACTATAAAAACAAACAAATGCAGAAACTGAAAGCACTTGCTATCCAAATAGCAAGAAATGCTAGCCAGAAATATTCTAGCAGTAGGCTAACAATCAATGTTTATGCTGTCTTCCTCAGAACTCTTGTGAAGGAAGTGCTTCATGCACCACAAAGGGACTGGACCTGTGGTTGTATACGGAACTCCCAGGTGAGGAAATTCCCTCTGCCGATGCAGATCTGTATCTTTTCTGTAATTTATAGTATTAAAGAATTACCTGGAGCAGTGATGAGAAAACTCAAATAGGAAGAGAGATAGGGGAGGGCCACTAACCCCTTCTGATTAAGATGACTATGTGATTGCAAGGAAGGAGCCTAAGACTTACATGTATACTTGCAAAGGTCCTAAAAGATAATAAAAAGAGCACCAGACCAAAAAATTATTAGGAAATCTGAAGAGAAACTACAATAAGTGCATTCTGTCGAAGGTGGCACAAGAAAAAGGGACCCATCAGAAAAGCAAACAGTCCAGGTAAACAAGGGAGAAGCCTGCCAGGCGGCTTCAAAGAAAACTGAAACTTGCAGCACTGAACTCTGAGACGAGAAAACCAAAATGCTCAGGGAGGGTCAGAAAACTGCAGCCCTCTGAACATGGATGTAAGACCCTGGAATTTCACAGCATGCTGACCCCCAGATGTTTCAGAGAGACTTGAAGAAGGAAGCACTCTTAAACCTATATATACAGGGGGCCTGAAACCTACCAGCACTTTGAGCATAGACATACCAGATAGCATGGAAATCAGTAGCAAAAGCTTAGGCAATCTAGGTCAAGACCAAACAGGGGCCCACCAGCCTGTCCAAAGATGCAGAAGGGAGTAGAGCCTTGGCCCTGTTAGAAAGTCTAAATCACGAAAAGAGGCTGGAAATATAAACAGAAAATGACATCTAGCTCTGTAAAGAAATATTATGGATCTAGAGATACCCAAGAGATAAACTGAGAAAAAGAAAGTAACTCCACAATAATCATAAGCAGAATTTCAAAGAAAAAAGTGTCTTGTCCACAAGGGCAACAAGAATGACTCAAACAAATCAATTAAGTGACAAATTATAACTAAAATAAGACTTCTGGAGAAAAGAATTATAAGGAGAAAAATAGCTTAGAAGAGAAGGTTGTAAGGTAACAGAAGATAAGCCTTACTCAAGTAATAAAATCCCTGAAAATTAGAATGGATTAAATAGAAGCTAATGACTTCATAAGACAGTAAGAAATATTAGAACAAAATAGAAAGATTGGAAAAAATAGAAGAAAAAGTAAAGTACTATGGAAAACAGAGCAAGGAGAGATAATTTAAGAATCACTGGACTCCCTAAAAGCTATGACACTCCCTTAGACACAACCAGAAAAAATCTAGATATCATATTTCAATAAATCAAAAATGAGACGTGCCCAAATCTATTAGAACTAAAGCTAAAAAAAAAATGAAAGTAGAATCCAATGATCACCTCCTGAAAGAAAACTATAATTTGACCAATTGTCTTATAGTTGTAGATAATCTTTTTGTATGTGTTCTGTATGCATATGTGTCTATACAAACAGAATGCTGCTTAACATATAAAGATTTTCAGTTTATTTCCTTGTAGGGCTATATAATTTTTACTTCTTGACTATTAGGAAGTTTTAAAAAACTAAAATTAAGTTCTTCATTATTTGATTTTTTTTGTATTAATGTTTTGTACTGGGTAGATTTTTAAGAATATTTGTTTACAAGGACATAGCCCACATAGTTAGACACTAATTTCTTAAGATCTGTGATCATTTGATCAGCCAAGAACATACCACCAATCTCAAAAGCCATAAATAATTGCCTAATGAAAAAAAAGGGAAGGTTGATGGAATTCACCTTCTAAAAAAGAAATTTTGGATTTCAAAAATCCTCGTGCATACTGAATATTTGTGCATTAAACCAGTATTCTGAGCCCTAAAAGACAACAATTTTAGACAAAATGCTCTGAAAAGCCAGAGTAAGGTTGTTTGATATCCCCAATATGCCAAAATATCCCTTATTTCTAATATCATATACTAGAAATATAGTGATATACCAGGAAGAACACTGGATTTGATGCCAGAAAACTTATGGCTGGGTGGTACCATAGTTAGAGTATTGGCCTTGGAGTCAGGAAGGCCTGACTTCAAATTCTGCCTCATAGCTGTGTGACCCTAGGCACATCATTTACCAAATGTAATCCTGGGTTTCCTTCAGCTGTCAAATGGAAATAATAGCATCTGCTTCACAGCATTGTGAGGATAAATGAAAACACACATGTAAAACACTTTATAAAACCTTAAAGTACTATATAAATGCTAGCTATGATAATAATAATTATTATTACTACCTATGTGACCTTCAGTAAGTCTCTTCATGTCTCTGGGCCTCAGTTCCTCCTTTTATCAAATGAAGGACTTGAGGCAGATGACATCCAAGGTCCCTTCCATGTCTCAATCAATGATCCACTGATCCAATTTTCACCTGGGTCAGAACATGTAATGGTGCCTATATCTAAGCAGTAGTACTTCCATTTTCTGCTGAAACCCCACAGTTTATTCTCCCTCTTACTTCCTTCCTCACCTTAGTTTGAATAGGTCCCCTTGCCACCAAACCAAAAATCCCCCACACTCCTGAGCTAGAACCTTGTTGTTTTCTTGGAACCCCTAGGAGATGAGGTGGGGAAGAAGCTTGGACCATCCTGGGAACCGTAGCACCACCCCCTCTGCCCCCAGCACCACCCCCAACAGAACAGGAAATGGACCAGGGTCCAGGACTCCCTGAAGTAGCATCACTTAAGGACTGTGTTGTGTCTGGATGTGGCTTGTGTCCGCTGAACCCACAGTGTAGATGGATAAGCCAAGGTGTGTCTGGATCAAGTGGAGTTGGGATAACTGACCCTGGATGGAAGGGAGAAGGGAGGGCTCGGGCCTATAGGAGAGGAGTGGAGGAGAGCCTGTTCCATTAGACCGCCCACTTCTGAAGCCTAGTGGTTGCCGCCAAGCCATGGAAATCCCAATACCCCTCTCCCCACAAGTATTTGGAGGAGAGGGGACAGGGAAGTCTTTACCAGGCTAGCTGTGGGAGGGTTAAGGGAATGGGAAGTGATTAGCCACTAGTGCTTCAGGTCCTAGGAAAGGGTATAGGGAGAATTGAAAGGGTCTCAACAATTAGGGTTTGTCACATTTTTGCACCTGAAAGGTCAAAGCTGTAATGTAAAGAGCAGTAGATTTGCCCATGTTCAAATCCTGGTTCTGCCATTTAACTATCTTTGTGACCTTTGCTGACTTACTTAAACTTTCTGGGCTTGAGTTTCCTTATCTGACAAATGATGGAATTGTATTTGATAATCTCAGATTTCTTCAGACCCCATGTGAACCATGTCACCATCCTAAAGTGGGAAAAGAAACTCTGAAAGCATCTGGAAACCAAGGAATTTGGATCTCCAGAAATTTGAGGAGAAAGTAGATACTGTCTTTTCTACAAAATAATGCCTGGTAGAGTAATAAAGTACTCAGAATTAGAGAATACTCTGGTTAGCTTAAAAGTTTTCCCTTAAATCCAGATTAAACTTGACTCTGTAATTTCCATTCAGTGGTCCTGGTTCTGTCCTATGGGACCAGTCAAAACTGATCTAATCTCTCTTCCACATAACAGCTATTAGGTGAAGACAGGAAATGTATCACTAAATCTTCCAGGTATAGCATGACTTCTAGTCTCTTCACTATCCAAGTCATGCTCCCCTAGATACACTTCTGCTTGTCAGTCTCCTTAAAATGCAGTAGCTAGAACTGAAAACAATACTCCATATGTTTTCGGTTCTGGGCAGGGTGTTGTAGGAGCATCATCAGTATCCTTTGACATGACACTGTTATTCAAAACAGTAGCTGCTACTTAGTCTCTTTGTCAGCTTCAACTCATTCTTCTATTCCATGGAGCTGTTTGATAGGATATTGAGTACACCAATTGTTGTGTATTGCTATATCTTGGGTTAGTTTTGAATTAAGATCTATGTATTCCTCATCAAAAGAAAACATTTCTGCAAATATAATATCAAGCACAGTTATCTATACCCTTAATAGCCTTTGAGACATAGGTAATAATTTTTGCCTCTATGTTTTAACCAGAATGAAAGTCATGCATAGAGCTTATGTTACGTATCAATTTTTCATGAAATCTCTTTTGAAAGAACATTTCCACGTTCTGAATACCATCCAAGTTAATAGTTTGAATTATTGAGGTAATATTAGGTTGAAATATGGTAAAAAAAATATTCAGAGTGAACCCCATAATTATGGTATCTTCAAATAAGCCTGTGGTTCTGAAATATTTCTTCTCTATAGGTCCGAATATATTGGAACCATTTTTTAAAAAATTTGGCCATCTTTGAACTTTTAGGTAAACGTGTCATGCCTTGGAAAACCCTAAGATAATTAATTATTCATCACCATAGATTTATAGGTGCCTGTACAGTTAGCATATCAGAACAGGCAGTTGGTTAAGAACTTTAAATCTAGGGGAACTTGATTCACTGGTAACAACCAGGGTAGAATTTGAAAATCACTGTCAAAATAGCTCTGTTTCATCAATATTATATGATAGTTTTAGAGTTAGATAGATTATATTCAGAAATGAGTTTGCTGAAAATGGCACAAAATTGTTCTGTGATGTCAGGGTTTGCTGAATATTTTGCACAAGCTATATCTAGCTTTCTAATTATATCTATTTTGAGGGACAGAAACAACCTTTTGGAAAATACATGTGGCTATACTTTGCTTGGAAAAACTTCAGTCTTTTCATTTAGTATTGGGCCAATATATATAAGAGCATTCTGTGATCTTTTCATTAAGAACTTTGCATATAAAACAAGATGTGAGTACTGTACTCTGATTTAACCATATACTAAGTAGTACATCAGTGATTAACAGCTGAATTTGATTGGGAGTCTATAAAATATCTGACCACTGATTCATTCTGAGTCACAATATTGAGAATGACCAGAATTGTATTGTTCCATCAATGGTTTCTTATGCTTGCCTTTTTAAAGTTATGTACAAAAATTATTTTCTTTTACAGTTAGCCTCAACTTTTTCTTTTTTGGTGTTTCTTTTTTAAATTAATTTATTTATTTTTCGTTTCCAACATTCACTTCCGCAAGATTTTGAGT